AAGGCAATGCGAGCCCACGGCGCAAACGCGGAGTGGTAGTAAAAGAGGCAAGCCCGTGAATTGAGAGGATGTCTTTTTCCCCCCCTTTTTTTTTGTAATACCTAAATTTTTTTGTGATTTGTTCATTAACTGTATCTCCCATTATCTTCCTATGAAATGAGTAGTCTTCAAAATTAGGTCCTTGACTTAAATATTTGTCGCTGTAACAATTTATAGGATTTCTGTATCTTTTATTGCTGTAAACAAGTTTTCCACATTACATTTAATATTTATTTTTACACTTTCACATTACATTACACTATTTCGCATTTTTTCCTTTTCTAATTGCATATATTACCAAATATATTTACATATTTCACCGTTTCTATTGCATATAAATCACAGCCCTAATTAAGGTTATTAAAAATTCTTAATGAACTGTTTAACAATTATAATTATGGTTTAACTTCTGTAATATGTTCTAATTGTTTAATTTATGGTAGAGTCATATAATTTCAGAACCTGATAAAGATAGAGAAATTGTCGTAATGTTGTGAGGAAATGAATAAAAATAAATAATTTTTTCTTTATTGGTATAAATGAAGTTAACCAAAAGAAAAGGATTTGTGTATTTATTTTCCTTTTGTAATTTGAGTTTAATGTGCTATGTCAGCATGCTGAAAAAATATTTATCTCTAATAAAATAATTGGTACCAGTAATTATTACTATGTAATTCCAAGAAGAAACAATTTAATACTAAGTATATTTCTGAAGCACTTTATGCAATAGAGGCCAAGTCTCTACGTTCCTCGGGCCTGTGTAGCATGAATCACATTGCTATTACACCATCCCTTTTGGAGATAGGATATTCTTTCTTCTCGTCTTAATATTAAAAATCACAATATTTGTTTTTGTAATAAAACTTCAATTTGCCTTGTAGAATATTTCATTTCACAGAAAGATATTAATTAGACTCGTCATGCACACACTCACACATGTTACTAAGACATTTCTTCAGTAGAAAATATCTTTAGACATTGTCTCAACATTATTTTTCATTGAATATGACCTGAGGACTATATAGTTCTGAATTAAATGCTTCTTGCAATAATAGCTTAATTTTCAATTCGCAAGCATCGTTGCAAATTTTCTTAAAGCAATAGTGGCACACCCCCAAAAAATTTAATCTATCATGCATTGTGAACTGTGTTATATGTAATACCATAGTACCATTTTATTAAAACAATAACTTTTTATAGCACAAGTAAAACTCATGAAATTAAATGAATATTCTGCAATGTAAAAATATGCACATGTAATTTTCTTCAAAGACATTCAAGGACAGGCCACTATTGAAATGATAGCCTCATACTAAGTTGACTGAGATGCAAACTTGTCTTTTGGCAGAAATCTCAACAAAATTAAGTAAAAATTCCAATGCCATTTTTGAAGTAAAAGTTACAAATTGGGCCTATTGTGATAGAGTTAAGTGGTTCCATGAAAGATTTACAAGGGACAGTAGAATTATTAACAATGCAAGGCATTAAATATAATTTGACATTTACTATATGACCGCAAATATTAAAATGACCCCATTACGTAATTACTGTTATTTAATATGGGACTACTTTCAAATTACCAGACTACATTAATTGATTTCCAAGATTTTAAATAACATATATAAACACTGAAAACTTCCAAGAATTCAAAAAAAATATTAAAGATTAGTGAAACATCCATAAGAATTTATGTAAGAGCAATCAGTCCACAACTTACATCACAAAATGAAAAATATTAAGGGAAATATATCTTCATATTCTTGAACCCAAATTATATGCAAATAAATTCACATTACTAAGTTTAAATGAGAAAGATCATTGTCTACGAATAAGAAATGTATTTATTTACATATTTACAAGCATTTCATTTATTATTAAGAATATTTACAGCAATCATCAAGTAATTAAATAATCCATTGCAAGTTCCATAAATAGTTGAGAAGTTCCAATTTGTTGAGATTATGTTATGCATTATTTATTTAAAAGTAAAAACAAAATAAAATGTGTACTCAATTAGAAAAATTGGATTAAACTGAAGTTGAAAATTACTCAGAAGAAAGTTTTGAAACATATATTGACAATGGTTGAACCTTATAGAAGATATTTTAAAGTAGAGAACACAATTTTCCATAATCACTAGAAATAAAAGTTATAAACAATTTAATAAATTATAGTTATGAACTTTAATTCATATTAGGAGTTGGAAAGATGTCAGGCTTGGGAATGTTTTATGAACACCTTATCCAAGTGTGTATGTAAATTTTTACAAGTGCATATTGTCCATGCACAAGAAAAGAGACTCAAAAACTGTAATTTTGCAACTAATATTCTTAGTACAGTAAACTCTGATTAGCATGGACTTGCTTAGCACAACTTTCACAGTAAAATGAACAAAAGGGTCCCAGCAAGGAAATATAGTAATAAGGTTATATATAATAATTGGATAACAAACACTGATTTTCAATTCCTTGAAATTAATATTAACAAGGATTTACAGAAATAAAACAGTATAATTTTCTATGAATATTTAAATATTTTCATGAAAAATTACTTTTTTTGAGTTGCATCACTGATGGTATAGGAACTTTCCTTTAACCCTTTGATCCTGTTTCTCCATAACATATATGGATTCAGTCTTGTGTTAAGTTTGTCTACATATTTTACACAACAGTTTACAAGTATTTCACATACAGATATTTTTTGAAATTATTAAGTAAATTATTCCTTATTACAGTAAAACCTATCTAATCCACAATCATTTGGTTCCTAAATTTTCCGATGTCTTGTACAGGTTTCTGGCTTATTCAGGTTTGTAAAAGAAAAACCCACAAACTATCAATTCAGAAAATGCAATTGTTTAAAGATGGAATTGGTTGTACAAGTAGTTTATCTCAGTTAAAAACTATATTTCAAAGAAGCAAAGACATCCCGGGAGAGACAAAATGACCTTCAGAAATACATCACAAACTCTAATGAAACAAGGAACTCCAAGGAAGTAAAAGGAATATAATTCTTCAAGATTTGAAGGATTGATGAATTCATTATGATTTAGGCTTCAGCTATTTGCCTAGGTTCCCATGAATACTCTGGTAACCACCAATAAAAAGTTTATTTTAACCACTCATTCTTGATTTTGTCTGTTTTTAAGGTTTCATAAACTTGAGTTTTCCCAACTTTAAATTTCTCTATCAAAATTTTGACAGAAGTGTTGCTTTGTTTGTGTTCTCCAATAATTGAAAAATTGTAACTTAATTGAAAAATATTTACAACATTAATTTTCTCAACAAGACTTTAATTTTTCAATTTACCATCTGACATCATAAACACTTGATTAACACAATACCTGCAACTGAACAAAAGTAAATGTTTAGAACCACTGAACCCAAAGCACGCAATACAAGATTTGTGGAAGAATCACTCTCTGTCTCTCCTTCCTTCAGATGGGCTTGTGAAGGCCAGTACTATTATAAATGAACAGTGGCATTTGCATGAGTTGTGTGAGAAATACGCTGTTTGAATGAGGGTAACTGAGAAAGCGAATGGACAAGCACAGCTTTGAGTGTCTCTTGGTTCGATGTCGCCACACATGATAATGCTTTTAAAACTATTTGTTTTCGGTCTTATCCAGAATTTTTAATACATTTGTACTAAAAATTCCTTTCCATTTCCGTGTTAAGACAGGTTTCTGGCTTATCCAGTGTACTTTGCATTGAAAAATAGTCTGCTGTGAGATTTCTTTCTGATGAAGTTTTACTGTATTTATTAAAACCTTATTGTATTCATTACTATTTTACTGCAATCTTAGACTGGTTTTACTGAAATTATTTGCTTAATGACTATATCACACACTAAATAAAAGAATAATATTATTTCTAGAAAAACATTCTAGTGTATCCTCATAGCTATAAGTAGATTTCTATCTAACCAGCATGAGAATGTTTGAAGCACGGCTTCCAAGTAATATGCCAAATAATCATTCAGAAAACACAACATATAAAATGGAAATGGATACGATTTTAGAATTTTTCTTATAATTTACACTTGTAACGTGAAATCTGTCTGGGGGCGTTTCCAACACCAACAACTTAAAAATCAAATTATTTCCAATCTAAGAAAACTTAAAAAACTGAAATATTTACAACACATGTTAAACTGGAGAGAAATACCATATCTAAAAGGAGAAGTTCATGCAAATAATTTTCAGAGTGTAGCAAAATATTATTTGCACCTGAGGTCACAAATAACCTCAAACAGAGTCTAAGGGTTAAAAGGCTCAATGATTTCCAAGAATGAGATAATAAACTTAAATGAAAAATTACGTTTTTGTACAAAACACTCAATAGTTGTGAAAAAGTGCAGGTTCAATCAGAGGCAGACAGAAGATCACAACATATTTTCTCTGATATTTTCAAGTAATATGAATAGGTTTTCATAGTAACTTCCATAATTTTAGCATACAAGTAAACAGAACAATGATTTAAGCAATTAAATTACTATATTTCCAACATTTAAATAAATACAAAATCTGAAATTAAGTGAAAAAATATTTACAACAAAATTATATTTGCTAGAGAAATTAATTTGAAAAAAAGTTTACAATATGCTGAACTGAAATGATAAAGGTATCAATGTCATTTACAAAGTCACTTATCAAAGTAACTTCTTGGAGAGCAAATTCATGAGAATGCAAGATAAATGAAGTACAAAAGCATAATCTTTAACTTATTTAGGAAAACTTCATACCAAGTAAATATTAAGGACTTTTTTAAAAAATGTAGTGGATACAGAAGAGGATAAGAAGATTTTTTCTTCAAATCAGTTTTAATGAGTGAAGTCTTTCCAGGGGTACCATCTTTCTGTTTTACCAATTATTCAGTTTCTTCAACACTTGCATCCAAAATCCTCCAATTCTTTTTACTGTTTAATATAATGCATTCAAAGAACACTCACAACACAACAATCTAATACCGGTATTTTGTAGAATAATCTTTGGGAGAGACAACCAAACCACGTCCCTTTCGGGCTCCTCTATAAACAGTTTCAATAATATCAATCATTTCTTGCTTATCTTCTAAAGGCCAGTTTATTTTGTTATTGTTACCAGTGCCCAAGTCAATCATTATGTGCTTATTTCGAAAAAAGAACATAACAGTGCATGGATCATACAATTCGTACATTTTATTGAAATCTGGAACTTTAGTAATATCCACCAAATAGATCACTGCAAAGTTCTTAACTTTTTCTGCGATTCCGTATAATACTTCATCCATTTTCATACATGATGGATCCCAATCATGACCAAAACGAATTACCACAACACGGTCTTCCTCAGACAATATTGCTTGATCCACCTGCCATCCGTTATGGAGATGACCCAACATGTACGACATATTGGTAGTTTATTTCACACCACTTTACGCAAAAAAAACAAACACACTAACGTCAATTGCAGTTGCAATACTCTACACTCATAAACAGTACAAAAACACAACTCAGATAAGTGTCCACCTATGACCTTAACCTAAACTCGCACCACTTGCCACAAGCACTTATAACAAGTGACAGCAGATTGAGAACATCGAGAAAATTTCAAAATTTAAGCGAACGATATATCGATTTCGGTGGTTGTAAATGAAGAACGAATTCCGTGTCAGTATGCCAGTTTACAAAAGAGGATAAAAGAAGGCCTGGTATTTAGAGATTTTATGACTAAGAAATTTTTGTAAAATATAATAAATATCTAGGTCACTGAAATCATTAATGAAAAATGTTATTTTATTTCTAACAGCTTCTTAGACATTTTTCATTGGTGTGCTGTGTAGCCGTCAATTGTTTTTGTAACAGATGCAACAACACTTACGCAACACTAAGGATAAGGTTAGGGGCGGGGTAGTTAATTGCATGATTGTGAATTTCTTCTGCATTTGTGTTTGCAATTTCATTTACTGAATTAATCTTAAGAATGAAACAGGAGTACGTTGGCTATCATCAATGGGCTGTTACATCAATTACGTTGTAGTTAAATTACATGAGTCATGTTGTTAAGATAACTGAATGTCATAACATTCATAACGATTATTGAGTTTAATATGCCTGAAAAATATTGTGGGTATCTTTCCATGGTGCATAAACGTCTTAAACGGTTTATAATTCATCATAATATGTCATGATTAAAAGATAATGCTCAGAAGGGGGAGAATTGCAATATGTCAATACAAGAGAATAAAAATGCAGAGTGAACATATAGATTTTGAAAATTGGATGGCACAGCTCCCAAACAGCCTTCGTGAAGTTCCTGTTATTAACTTAGCAATTCCAGGTAATGTCATTGGATTTTTAAAAAGGTGGAGTAAGGAGAGATGTTTAGAACTTTTGTGAACATTTATAAATTCCTCTTCAATATTTATTTTCACAATATCTGTAATCACTTATTCAAATGTAATGATGATGTGTTAAATTTTCTAGGAAACGGGGAGTGCTCATTAATAATGTCAAAGTTTGGCTTTACAGGTTCTCATGACTCTGGAAGTTGTACAATTTCTCGTTCATCTGCTGTGTCCCCTGATACCTCACCAGTTGTAAAACAACTGTGTAAAATTTTTGGTGCTGTTGTCAAAAGATTAGTTTACAATTGGGTTGTAACTCAACATTCATCGATCACTGAACAGCTTTCAGGAGGAATTAGGTGTGTACATTTGAATACATTATGATAAAAGATGTTGATAATTATATTTTGAATGACATAAGTTATTTTGTTGATCTTATAGTTTTTTTAAAATTAAGTGCATTTGTTGAGTAGTATGTTTCATATTTTGCCACATGTATGAAGTTTGCCAGTGATATTCTATCATCCTAGTAGAATGTAGAGAAGCTATTTTATTTGATTTTTGTATGACAAAAATGTAATCCTATTGTTAGGTTCCCAAATTTTCTTACTGAAAGAGAAGTGTTACTGCACTTTGGTGCAGAATTACTGTGAAGTATGCCTATCTTGGTTCCTTTCATGTCATTTCTTCTTTTTTGACATCACATAGTAACAAAACATTGTGTAAAATTTAGAGAATTATATACATCATCCAGTTTCAGGAAAAAGTCTACAAAATAGAGAGGTTTTCCTAAATTTTGTTGTAATGTTGAATATTCAATTTATATGAAGTAATTTTCTCTACAAAAATATTTTACGTTACTGCAGAAAGTTTAAATTGCAAAAAGCTATGCCAGATTTTCAATTTGTAATTAGGAATTTGCTACTTAATTTGTAGAATATTTCATTAACACATTTTTACATTTCAACATGTTTCATGAACATACAAAAATTTTGTGAACTTCATAAACATATGACTTCGTTTTACTTTCAGATATAGTTTGAAGGATGCCTTTTTAATTCTTTTTTTTTAAATTAAAAATAAGCAGTAGCAGGGCCTATAAGTACAAATATTTTTTATTTTTCTGTTTTTGTCATCAATCACCTTTCCATCTGTTTTCTGTTATTATTGTATTGCTCCATTTTCTGTTATTATTACATTGTACCATCTGCTCTGATTTTGGTGTCAATTGGGTGATACTGGCCTGGCGGATAATAATGTCAGTATCTGCTGAATTCCTGTCCTACAAATCAAACAGGTACAATGTTGGAAGTAATAGTAGAGGAAACAGAATAGAGACTCAAAATTCAGAGTCCAGTGTCCAGAATATAAAAAAAATAAGTTTTTGTGGTAAAATAATAAATTTGATATTTCTGTGTAAAAATTAACATTATTGTTTATAAAGAATGTCTAGCTTATTGAAACAAATGCAAATATGAGCCAAAAGCAAATGTCTTGCCAAAAATATGGTTGCAATCAACCCACATCATGGAATTTCATTTACAAATTTCTCATTTAGAATTTTATGTATACATTTTCTTCCTATTTTCCTTAAATGATGATATTCATCGTATCACTACCTGAAAAATATGTGTATAATCACATTATTTTACTATCTAATCTTTTATTGTACAGGAAAGTTAATATTTATTTAAGCAAAAATACGAATGAATGAAATTCTGATATTTCAAGTTTTATAATCGATGCGATGTGATATTATTAGAAATAACTAAGAAATCAGTGGGGTCATGTATTATTCCACAGGTGCCCTTTTTTTTTGTCTTTCAGAAGGGTTCTGAATGAATTTTGAAAAGATATTCTACTAAATACAGAAATCTTAAGTATGAGCAAATCATTATTTATAGAAATATTCTGTCTCATAATTCAGAATTTCTAATTGAGGAACCAGAGAGAATTATTTACAAATTGCTTTAATATTCTAAAGTTATTTTATTTGCCCATCTTAGTGTTGAAAGCAAACATAGTAATATAAAGTATTTAGAGGAAATTTTCATGCAACATTAGTCATCTAGTAGATTTTTGGTTTTGAAGATAAATTTACAGTTTTTCAGATCATCTTGAGCAAAGTAGATTGAAAATTAATTTAGATATTGAATTAATTGTGATCCTTGTTGTGTCACCCAGAATGTAGTGAGTGAGTATGAATCTCACAAAATTTGTTTGAACCATTGTTAAAATCTCTAGGAGTTATAGTGTTAAACAATAAGAGTTATTTGTTTTACAGTCCTAAAATGTTATTTTGTGTATGAAAAGTATATTATGGTTGTTTTTAGTAACTTTTTATATGAAGTGGCTGACTAAATGATGCAAGTTATTTAATACAAGCATAACAGGCTAGATTTTGCAAAGTAATTGAGTTATCAACTTATGAAGGATTAGTAACCTGGTGTTGTGGTTTACAAAACACAGTTTATGTGCTTAATAAATTTCAAACTTATAAGGAAAATTGTATGCATATTTGAATGTTTTTTGTCAGTTACTACTTGTAAAAAAGGTTTTTGTGCAAGATTGAGTAAAGGAAGTATATTTAATACTACATTTTTTTTAACAGGTATTTGGATCTTCGAATAGCTACTAAACAACATTCAAAAAATTTATACTTTGTTCATGGACTTTACGGAGATGAGATAAGTAATATATTGAAAGATGTAAGAGAATATTTAGATACTCATGTAAAAGAAATTGTGATTTTAGATTTTCAACATTTTTATTCTTTTAGAGAGAACGATCATAGTAATATGTTGGGTATTATTCATAACACTTTTGGAAGAAAGCTATGCCCTTGCTTTGATAATCTGTATCATGTTACTCTAAATTGGATGTTTGCACATGGTTACCAGGTAATAGTTGTATACCGCAGTCGAGCAGCAGCATACATGCAAACCTGCTGGCCGTCATCTGCTTGGCCCACACCATGGCCTAACACAACTGACGTTGATGAAATGTTTAAGTTCCTCACCCAAAAATTAGCTTCTCGCCCTCCCAATGCAGGGTATGTCACACAGTGTGTGCTGACACCTGATGGACCGCTGATTTTACTTCATCCATTCTCTACTCTAGAGCAGAGGTGTGCTTCTATTTGCAATACTGCTAGTATCCCATGGCTAGAGAAACAGATTCCAGGGCCAGAAGGAATCAATGTTGTTATCTTTGACTTTTTTGATATGGCTAAAATTCCCTTCTGCCAAACTATTATTCAGCTTAATCACAAACTGTTAAAACATAATGTAGAAACATAAGGAAAATAAGTTACATTTATTGCAGTAAATAACTGTATTTGTCCCTGCTTGACATACATTTTCACACACAAATTGACACACTATGTAAAATGTAAGGAAGATACATATTCTATGAATTTTTTTAAATTTGTGAGGCATTCTTTTAATGGAAGAAAAGGTAATAGATTAGTTTGGGTAGTGCCCACCCCTTTGTTTGGGTAGTGTCCTCGCAGCACCCAGTTTTCTCTTCATTCTGACACCTTTCAGAAGAAAGTTGTGCTTCAGAGTTCCACTCACTTGTCCATTTGATTGTCAGATTTTCAGCACTTTTTTTCCCTTGGATATCACAGAGAGATTATATTGTTATTGCCTTTTTATTACGAAAGAGTACATTTAAAATCTAGTGGAAATTATTTTTTAGTTAGATTTACAACTTTTATATTGATGTTCTCTTACTGTTTGTAGCTCTGTTGTTGTTGCACATAATACATCTGTATGAGCAGATGCCAGTGATATAAATTAAGCTAAATAAAATTCCTGACCAATAGGTGGATAGGAATGTGCAAATTTCACATAAAGGTTTGGTGAAATCAAATTGACATAGTTAGCAAATTCTGCAAAAGCAAGGTGTTAAAAATGAAAGAAATTCATACTCTGTTCAAATAATTAATACTCACATAATTACTCTTCTTTTGTGCTATAACTGTTTTAAATGTATGTGAAAATAATGTATTTAAATATTTGAATAGTCCATCTGTGTGTAATATAACTTATTGTGAAAAATTACACATTCTTGTCCAAGTCAGAGCACAGTGGCTGGTTCCACTATAAACAGTATTTCTTACAGACCAAAGATACTGGCAACAGTACAAATAGCTAGCAGCAGGTTCTGCTGTAGTTGTTATAATTTACATTGTTCATCTTGTTAATTGGAATTGATAGACATTTATAAACACATTATACACTTATACAAAATATTATGAGATTATGAGGAATGATAAATCTATTTCAGAAATTGTTATACAAAATAAATAGTCTCACTTTTTTATCTCTATGTTCTACTTAAGAAAGAACAGTTCATCTTTCAAGTCATCTTCTTACACTACTAGGCTAGGAATAATGTGATTGTAATTCTGAAAAATAAAGAAACTGAAGTTAATGAATTTTCTTTACCTTTTTTCTGATGGGGAAATTACCATAACTTGTCTTATCTCCAGAATGTATTTTGTTTTTATTTTACCAGTTTAGTTTTCTTCATTATTTTTATCATAGTTTTGATACGTTATGATGACCACTAAATTCTCTTGTGAGGAAAATGTTTCATTTAAGAAAAATATATAAAATATTTTTGCTTAGATCAGTTAAAGTAATTTTAAAAATTTTGTCTTCTATTGAACATACAATATGTGTAGTATAAGGTGATTATTGAATATCATAACCTTTACAAAAATTGTTACAAAATGGCAAGCGATGATTTTGCTTACTTCGTGGCGAGAGAAAAAAATTATAATTATTAATATGATAATATTAAAGTCCCATTAAGTTCCAAAAACAAATGAAAGCATTATTTAAGATGAAAAAATTTCCATGACCATAATTACAGAACTTCTTCCAAAACAATTGTTTTTTGACCCAATGTTGTTGTATATAAATCATGGATGAATGAAGTTATTAATTTATTAAGTTTTGAAGCGATTTTTTTTTTCTTTTTCACTTTCCAACATCCAAATTATTTTTATTTCTTGATACATCTATCTACAACTCTTTAAAATTATGTTGACAGAACTTTTCTGAGAAATACAACAATAATGACCTTTTTGTACACGCAATATAAAATATTATGAGCATTTCAGAAACTTTCTTGCTTAATACTGTTTTTATTAGAGACATAAATTATTGGAAGAAAGAAAAAAAATGTCAATAGATAAGATGAGATCAATAATTAATGTAATTTTTGAGTTTCCAAGATCTGTGACATAAATCGTGTCAATGTTGTTCAAACCTTTTGCTAAGAAGTAGACATCATGTTTGGTATCCACAATGTAGTTTTATTTTTAGTATTGCATACTGCCTGCCGAATAAACTGCTACAATTTAGAAAAAACTGTAGAATAAATGAAATGATGGTTGTACTACAAAGTTGTTTGAAAACAAGTTTTTTTTAATGATGAAATGATACTACAAGAATATATTATCTGTTAGGAATCAAAATAGCCACAAAGGAATTTTGCACACTTTTAATTCATTCACACATTTTCTGATAAATGAACATCCCATTCCCAAGACTATGAACACAAATGGAGTGTAAAATGTACTGATAGTATGATGTAAAAAATAAAATTTTATCAAACTAACAGTTATTGGCACAGAAGAATATGGTTGAACACAATGGGTAGCATCCCACACAAGAGTAACATCTTCAGTGTCTTACTGATTAAGAATTTAGTTTATTTCTATCATCAGCAACAAATGTGTCTGACTGAATTGAATGGTGATAGATATCCATCTTCCCTATCCTGATAAAATTTGGTATCATGGACATCATTTGATAGTGTTGTACTTCTGACCAGGTACTTACGAGACACCGAATTCTGAATCCTCTCAGGAAGGAGAGCAAGGATAAATGCAGGAAGAGCAGGAAACACACATCACCGAAAACAACGCCTTACATGGTCAGAATACTCTCACCAGTAATCCCCTACAGCACTGTAACAGTCCTTTTTGTAAGGTACTATTCTGACCGCATTCTCCGTTCAACCAACGCCGGACCTTTCACTTGCAAATCACGTATTGCTTTCTCTTGAACGCACACCGTTTTTACCCTGAGCGGGCCGCCGCGCCGCCTAGACGAACCACGAATCGCCTGCTGCCGCCGCCGCCGCTGCTGCTGCTGCTACGGCGAGTGGAGCCGTGCGGCGGAGGCGCCCGGGAGTCGGGGCCGCCGCGCGCTTGCTGTGCCGGAGTGGAGCGCCTGTGAGGGCTTGGCAGAGGGTGCTCCGCTCAAGCGCCGGGCGGGTCGTGCAGCGCCCCCGACGCGGTCAGCGCGCGCCCGCGCCCGCTCGCCGCGAGCTCGCTCAGCGGGATGCCCACCTGCGGGCAGTCCAGAGCGACCCATTTCTCGCTGTCGGATTGATTGGTCAACTGCTGTGGTCATTAGTCGCGTCAGCGTGGCGGATGTTTTATCGCGGGACGTGGCGGTGTTCCTCCCCGCTGGATGGTGAGATCCGGCGCTGACCTACACAACGCCGTCGGCTTGGGCGCATTTCCCCCCTCCAGGTATCCACCCACGAGGCACCGTCCCAGCCGGGACACGCTATAAGCTCCCGACATTCTGGTAGTGTAGCACATGTATGGGGAGAGAATGGAGCGAGTAAGAGGCAGGAACGAAGCGGCCCGTGGCCCATTTGTTAGGGTACAGACCCGGTATTCACCTTGTATTTATCGGAGAAACAACGGAAAATTACCGATCAGAGTAGCCGGTCGTTAGAATTATTCATTAGGCTGCGACTGAACTCAACTTAGTTATTTAGCTAGTGTTGAAAATCCGCCACCGTTGACACTCGAACCCTAGGACCTCGCGGTCAGATGTAAGATGCTCTCCAGAGACAGCGGCATTGTTGGCTCCGAGTTAAACTCGGCCGTTGTGGCTTTTTATGACAGCCCTACTGCTAGAGGCATCCGGCTACGGGGGGAAAATGGGAAAAAATACTATCAAGCTCATTACATCGCACACTCATTCACTCGCTCACTAAACTCAGCATCAAGGACTTTTGTCAGTTGTCCACCGGGAGAGGTGATTCAGGGCATCAACTGATGACACTGCAGTGCTACTGACCGGGAGGTCTTTGGTTCGAGTCCCGACAGTGGCAGGGTTTTCGTTGCTAGCTAGATCGAATTCAGCCGCTTTCTGGAGGAGAATTATAGCGGCCGGCCGCTCTGATCGGTAGTTTTTCGTGGTTTCTCCTATCAACATCAGGCGAATGCCGGAGCAGGACCCTAACAAACGGGCCACTGACCGTGCGCGATCTTTCCTTGCACTTACCATTACACTTACGTGAACTAAACTACCACACATACCGTGCGACCGGTCAGGAACTTAGAGCTTGTCCCTCCAAGGAAGATCTTGAAGAAAGCTAAAATCATTTTTGTAGGTTTATTAAATCGAAGAGCAGATAAATGACAAAGGCTACGAAATATTTCTTAAAGGGACAACAAACGGCAATAGGGGTTTGTGGCATATGTAATCTGTAAGTAAAATAAATTTAATCTCCCTCTGATTTAACTTGTATAATACCATAATAATTATTTTATCAATCTACCGGGAATAACGTAACGGGGCAGAACAGCATTGGTGATACTTCCGTTGTAACTTGGTAGACAACAACAAGGGACATGGAATAAAGGGTATAATGGAAATTCTCTTTCTCCAATTAACGAACAGTATTCCAGAAATTGTTTAACTTTCTTACTGGTTATTAAATATATAGTTTGAAAACATTGAATGTTCTTTAATTTTGGAAAGTAAATAGGACGAATAAATACTACTTTTAAATAGTTTGTATAACAATCAATGTCAGTTGAAATTTGACTTTTAATACTCCGTGTCGCCATTGACATGCACGGCAAGTATGCAACCCTTCAAACTATTTCTCTACATCCGGTCTATTCAGAAAAACGAAAAATACTGAGTAAACTTCAGTGAACTAAAGGATTCTATGATAATCCCTTGCGTAAATAATACGACTTCAGAGAAGAAATTATTCACAAAATTAAATGTACTATCTGTAGTAAATATTTCAATCGAAATAATTGAAATTGTAATAACATTCACTGGCAAAGACACTACACTCTAGTTAATTGCAAAAGTAGCACACTGATTCTAGGTATCCGCCCATCCGACGCAGCCGGAACAAGCTCTAAGCTCTCGATATGTTTGGTCTGTCTACTTCGCGCGACAACCCGCTAACGGGCCAGGTTCTACCAGCAGCGTCTCGGTCTCGCGGCAATGGGTTTAAGGGGTGGTTAACACGAAAACATCCCTACGCCGTATTCTGGTCTTCTCAACCTGAGAAGTGGGTTTTTTCATCGACACAGCAACATGTACTGGTACATTGCAAGGAAAACTGACCCTATAATCTTACCCGACCGGGAATTGAACATGGGGGCGTCATTGAAAGCTAGCATGCTGACCAATGAGCTAAACATCGAAGGCCGATTTGTGAGGCAGTGTAGTAAATATATTGGTATGTTTACGTACAAAGGCAGAGAAGGGGACAAGGAAGGGAACATGGCACGCAATCCGGGGTCCGTTTGTTAAGGTACGGATCGCCTGATATTGGTCAGAAAACTATCTATCAGAGCAGACGGCCGCTACGATTTTCCTGCAGACGGTGTATGAACACACGGTAGCTACGCAAATCCGCCACCGTCGGATGTCGAACCCGTGATGTCCCGTCGGGTGTGGACCACACGTCTGTGCTACCGCCGCCGGTCATGTAGTTGCAGGTCGTGAGCCGGAGACAGTCGTGTGCGGGGAGATGCTTACCTCTGCGGTGGCCCACACGTCGCAGTTGGGGCTGCAGGAGGCGGCGCGCGGTCGCCGGCCCCAGCCGGCCGCCGCGGCGGCCGCCGACTCTTCCAGCGAGCGGCAGCGCCCGCTGTCCGTGCCCGCCGCCGCCGACCCCGGCAGCCGCCGCATGCCCATCTGCGCGGCGCACACCAGAAGCGTCATTAGACAACGGAACGCAAACTAGACGTCTGGAGCTAATTATATTATTTTATCCACTTTGAATACGTAAAGACAAAATTTACGGCAGGTTAAGATCACTTTTATAATAAGAATTATTAGAACAGAAGTGATCTAATAATCCCTGACCTACTAATAACAATTATATAATCAGTAATAACAAGTAATATTAGTTGTCTTATAATTATTAAGACACAAATATTCATTCATTATTATTATAACAAAGTATTCTGATAATAGACATCTGTTAACTACTATCAGCGTCAGTCTGTCACATTTCGAAAGGGTGAATATTGAAATATAAACAAAAATGAGAGTAAGTTGTGAATTTTGCAAAACAGAAAAAAAGTCGCATATTTATTCATATCGCAACTTGTTAATATACAAAACCAATTGGATTAATATATTCGTTCGTGAAATATCTTTGACTACGCTTGAACATGTATACCTACCAAACATCCGTGTACGATTTTGCTACCAATTAGGGACAAATTTTTCATGTCTAGCGTCTGATATACGTTTCCCGTTATATGTTCAGTGGCAAAAAGTGATCGTCTTGGATCTCTCCAAATTCTTTAGAAGTTTGTTACATTTTTCCGATTCACCCTGCATTGTCGCACTGTGCACCCCCGATATTAGCCCTTCCGAATAGCTCAGGAATTCCCAACCTTTTTCTGCCATCGACTCCTTTTAAAAGAATGGCTTCCTTCATCGATCTCCTTATGTATTTCTCTGCAATAAGCAGACAACTATGTATTCTTAGCACAAATAATGACACATAAATGATTTAATGATAATTTACATAAAGCAAGTAAATTTAACTTTTGGAAACAACATTAAAATTATGCTTTATTTTTGTACTATTATAATTTTTAATTTTAGAAGTAAAAAGAAGTTGACAAGCAAAATAACAGATGCCATTTGCAAAAACGTTCGACATTCGTTCAGGTGAATGATATTAAATTACAAAAGAGGAGAACATTTGTTCTTCATTGTTTGATATCTGATAAGAGACACAAATGTTCAATGTCAGAAAACAAATAATTGTCGATTTCATTTATATTTTTGTAAGTAAGCAATGACATCTTGATTATACCGGTTAACCGCCCAAGTACATTTGACTGTAGACCCGTAAATGAGTACATGGTCATCATTCACCCCCTTTAAAATATTATCTATCCCCAAGGGGTCGAGGTCGACTCCATTGAGAACCCTGATTTATAGTACGACTAAAACAGAGAGTCACTTTAAAATCACGATCTAATAAGAGAGGGGGCACTGCCATTCAATCAGGAGTTTCAATATCAAAAATTGAAGTCGTAAGGTAGCTCGCGATTGGATGACAGTACCGCCCCTTCCTTGCTCCTGCTAGCTTGTGACCTTCAAGGGACACACTGTTTTAATCGGAGTTATAGCTCCTGTTTGCCAACACGGCCGGCCGAGGTGACGGCCCGGTCCCGCCTTGGGCATGATTTTTGTCCCTTGATTCTCAATGACTCTTGACATTTCTCCCTTGATTCTCACGTATGTTTCCGCGGAGTGCCTCGCGTTTCGGTGAACCTAGGTCTGAGGAGCCCGCAAGTGTGTTGGTGTCTGGCGCAGTGTATGGTTGAATATGTGTCCCATCGGGACGTAGAAAGTAACCGACTGTCGGGTAAAAAACAAACAAACAAACAAAACAAAACAAAACAAAAACCTAAGAAGAAAGAAATAGCGCATGCTTGCATGTGCGTTGAGGGTGAGTACTGACCGCGGCCGCCCTGGCGGAGGCGCTGCACCGGCGGCGCTGGTCCTCGAGGGCGCCGAGGCTGGCGGCGGGCGCGATACGGTGCGGGAAGCGCGGGGAGCCGCGCGGGCGAGGGGCCAGCGCGGGCTGCGAGTGGCGGTGCGCCAGCGACGCCACCCGCCCGGCCATGCTCACCCGCCGCTCGGCGTCGCGCTGCAGGCACAGCGCCAGCGAGAACTTGCGCCCGCCGCCGCCGCCCGCGCCACCGCCGCTCGCGCAGTCCGCGTCCATCACGTACGCTGCGGTGCACGGTGGCCACGGGGCCGTCAGAACGGGGAACGAGAGGGGAATAGGGTCATGCACGGGCTTAGAGTACCCGATGATTGGGTCCCCTTCAATAAATTTTTAAACAAGATTTTATGTTACTTCGTATTAAGTAAAAATCTATCGAATCCAATATGTTCACGATATAAAAATTCCATATTTGGCACTTGGAGAGACAAATTTTTGCTTACTCCATCTTTCAGTTCCTGTGTAGTTTGTAGAAGTAATGAAAAGATATCCAGTATTGATTAATTAATATTTAACGAAATAATTAGAATACGAAACCTCTAGCGTACTTGAGAGAAACAATATGCATCGAGATTTACACGTCTCGCGCATAGCGCTGATGAGCAGGGAGACTGTTCGGGAGCGGTCGGAGATTTAGATAAAATTACTTTTAATGATCAGTTTGAATCCATTACCTTCGCTGCGTAATAGGTACGCTTTTAACTAGTCGAAGTGCCAAAATACGGAATCCTATAACGTTTGTAGATTTTGTGGAATTTTGATTAATAGAAATGTTGAACCATCTGAAGATAGAACACTGAATTTCAGAAAGATTAATATTAAGACAAATAGTAGCCATATCAAATCATAATGGAGATTGAGAAATATGGAACAAAAATGCATTAAACATTTATATTCTGAATCCAGTATTATTAAAATAGAAAGAGAAATGGGGTCCTGATACTGCCATGGTTTGTAGGTAGAAATGTTAGTATTCAACATTGAAAGTAGAAAACACAAAACGAAGCATATATAGTTCATAAAATATTAAAGGAATTTGAAAAATAACCATTAAAAAAATCAAATGCTTTAGGAAAATAATTTTCATTTCGTCAAAAAAGATGTTGGGGAAAACAAGCTACATTTCGAACAGAAGCGCCGAAACGTTAAATAAAAAGAAGATAGAAGATCAATGGACAGGGGAGAAAGAACCAAAAGGAGAATTAGTTGGAAAACAATAAGAATAACAAGATAAAACACAGAGAAATGGCGCTTATGAAACAAAGTGACGTACGAAATCAAACATGACATATACTGGATATAATGAACGAAAAAAGAGTTGTGAACTTCGATAATTCGCTAAACAAAAAAGAAGAAGAAATCAACGGAAAAGAGAGCGAGAGGAATGCAAAGAGGCGCACGCGTGACTTCGTCGTCGTCGTCGCCAGTGACGCTGATGATGGGCCCGCTGCCGACGACGCCCCTGCGCACGGCGGCGCGCGCTGCCAGCGAGTCGCACGACGAGCCGTGCGCGCCCGCGCCCGCGCCCTCGCTGCCGGGCACCAGGCCGGCCAGGTAGCCCATGTGCGCGCGCAGGGCGGACGCGATGCCGCTGGCCGGCGCGCCCCCGCTGCCTGCCCCGCTGCCGCCACCGCCTACGCCCACGGAGCCCGTGGACGCATTTTTTTTTTTTTTTTTATTGCGCGGACGGCGCGCGCTGCCCAGCAGCATGCGCAGCCGCCCCAGCACGCCCAGCTTCCCCGCCGCGTCGCCCAGGTCCCGCCGCGCGCGGCGCTCCGCCGCCGCCGGCGGCCGCGGCCGCCGCCGCCGCCGCGTACTCGCCCGCGCGGCTGCGGCGCGGCGCCGCGTCGTCCAGCTCGGGCTCCGAGCTGAACGTCACCTGCGTCAACGCCAGCGGCGTCAGCACTTGCTAATGGCCACGTGGCAAAACGCGCTGCCGTTTCATGGACAACGTATTCAAGTCAACTAGCAAATTAGTATATTGATAAATTTTCTAAATCCAATTTTAAACAATCACTTTTTTTGAGATAGTAAAATAATTAAAATAATAAAATTGCAATAAATTATTAGTACTGATATCTATTTAAACTCACTGCCGTTTCATTTACGGACAACTTATTCACGTCAAAGTAGTAAATTATTATATTGATAAAGTTTCTAAATCTAACTTTGGACAATTACTTTTCTTCAGATAGTAAAATAATTAAAAATAAAATAAAATTGTAGTAATTTTCTTTTTATTTGTTTAAAAAGATTACTGTCTCAAGAAAAGTGATTGTCTTAAAAATGAATTTGGAAACTTTATCAATAAAACGTATTACAGACTATCATAGTTTAAGTGATAAAAAGAAGTAAATCAATGTCTATATAATAATTTAAAAATAGTAAATGGTACTGCTGTTCAAATCATTGAATCTTACTTAATAAGTTGAAGGTATAAAACTTACTGCTGTTAAATTCATAGACATGATATTCATGTCAAAGTAGTAAATTATTATGTATTAGACCTCTTATTAAAGCAAAACAGTAAAACTTACTGTTATTCAATACATAGAACCTTACACTTCAATGTCAAAGTAGAAAAAATACTGCTGTTTAATTCATAGAATCTTTCTCAGTAATATCAATGTCGTGAAACTGACTGTTTTTCAACTCATAGATTCTTGCTTATTAAAGTAAAAATAGTAAAACTTACTGCTGTCGAATACATCGTACTTATTTATATAAACATAATAAAACTTATACGGAGTCATGTTAGAGGAGTCCTAAGATGTTAGAGGGGAAGGATGGCCTGCATCCTCCCCAAGTGACTCATTCAGCGTAAGCTCCATATAACGCATTTCCTATAAGCAAAGTCTCCCGTCATGGTACATTCGTTTACCAAATTACAAAATATATATGAAGCATACAAAGAATTTTTCTTTGTGGGGGGGGGGGAGAAGGGAAGACTGAGGGCACTCACTTAACAATGATATACCACTGGCGCAACTACTTTACTGTTCAGATTCAAAAACAAGCATTTAGTACATCAAGGGAAAGTGGACGAAAACTCTGAAGAAACTGATGCGAAGCAGATGTAAAAATACAGTTTAAATAATTAATAAAATTATAAACTACCACATAACAATATATTTTGCTTAGAATTGTAAGGGTCGAGAAAGAAGGATTCGAACCAAATGCGGAGGCAGGAGATCCTTCTTCGCGCAAAATCCTTGTTCAATCGGGCCACCCTTGGCGTGATAGTGTTGGGGGGGGGGGGGGGGCCGTACCTGTCGCCGCATGGGCAGCGGGCGTGGTCGGCCGAGGGCCCAGGAGGCGCGCGGGATGACGGGCCGGAGACACGACAGCAGCAGCAGGGCGGCCAGCCCGCCGCCCAGCGCCGTCGTCGCGTCGTCGGGCGCGCGCCGCCCCAGCGCCGCCGCAGCCGCCGCCGCCGCCTCCTCCGCCTCGGCCTGCTGCGCCGCGCACGACATTCATTACTAGAGATTCCGATACAACCGCTAAGGTCATTGGGTCTGTAAGTGCAGGGTAGGGTTTCGCTCTGGAGATAACGGTAATCTTGTCCTGCTGGATGGCGAGATCCGGCGCCGACCTATAGTCGGCTAGCGTGGTTTTCCTCAACCAGGTATCTCTCACCAACGGGGCACCGCCACAGCCGGGAGAAGTTCTGAGCTCCCGACAGGTCTCCCGGCACTTGCCAGACACTACAGACTCCCTATTCAGTGGTTTGGTTTTCACTATGCATTTACACTTCCAAGAGAAATGTTTTCTCTATAAGTCTACCTTCTTTTACCCTTTCATCCATGCTTACATTTTATAACCTTTCTTCAACCGTCCCACCATTCATCCGTTTTATACCTCCTTCTTTGTCCGTATGTCAGTCACTTACAAGTACTTTCGACACACAACGTTTGTTAGAAGTGTAGGTATTTTCTCAAACGAGTAGGCCACATAATAACACTAAACGAACTAGTAATAAAAAGCACGCCCTAATAATGACGATGATTCAAAATACCCACAAATCAAAACTAAACCAACTTCACTATGAAAAGAGAAAGATTATTTTTAGCCAGTCAGCAAAGTGACGTCTATTTCACAGGGCCTACTTTAGTCGACTTTGCAACTTCCCTCTTTAATACATCTAAAATACGTTTCAGCTATACCCGTGCGGTCGCTTCTAAAAGTATTATATTTCCTCGTCGAATTTCACATTCGAGTGTTTTCCTAAAGCCCCAGAATTTTAGGAAATTTCCCTCATGATATAATCATTTTAACACTGGGACTGTTGAAAAGAAGGAAATTCGCTAATGCCCCGTCTATACGCAACTACTTCTTCCGCATTGGCGAGCGTTCAAAGGATTTCCTTCTGGGCCCTTTGCCGGCAAAGGTCACTCGGGCGGCAGAACTCCGCAAAGGGAGGAGGGCAAAGCAACCCCTCGAAGGGAAGGGCAGAGTGGCGTTGGTGGACCGCCCTGCTTTTGCTAAAGGTGAACGTATCAGCTCGATTGATGGAAGTTCGTACTTGTTGCTTTTAGCAGACCCAGGGTCTGCGTAGGCCCGCGAAATGCGACAAGTACGAACTTTCACTATCCCTTCAGTATCCTAAGAGTTCAGGCTGAACAATACGCCCATTGAAATGTTGCGGTTGGAATATTACCGTCATTCAACATTGTGAATTATTAATTAAGCTTAAGAAGTTAAATTAAGAAGTTAAATGCAAATACAAGTCTCGTAACTGTAACTTGCGAATAACTCGACATCTGTGGACTTATGTTTATTTATTCATGGAGAAAGAATAATACTCGTGATTAAATTTTCTTTTTGTTCGGTCATACTTGCAGAACAATTTTTTATATGAATGATGTCGTAACTGCTTCCAGTTTTGTTATATGCCTTATTTAACTTGACCTGCAGGAAATTAATAGAATACTTTGCATTTCTCGATGTCAGGTAATTAAACGATTTAAAACTCAATATTCTATTTAATTGTAGAAAAATAAATTTCAGGTGCAAACAATAACCAACAACTTTTACTACTAATACAAAAGTTGACAGAATGAAGAGAGGAATAGAAAGGAAGAACAAGGACGCGGTGGAGACAGAAAAACAAGACAAATATTAGAAAAATGGTAAAGAGAAGAGAGGAGCGAAAATAATCAGAAGCAAGTCTGTGATATTACACAGAAAAAGGAATGGATAGAGAAGGAAAGGGGAGAAAAAATAAAGTAATCGTTATTTGTGAAGATGAGATGAAAAAAAAAGTAGGAAAAAGTGAAGTGTATGTATGAGGTGCGAAATTATTCATGGCATTGATACACAGAAAATCTGTACACTTGACTGTTGAAAAGCCTTTTGAACGCTTTCATTCAAACCACGGCCATCGACTGAGGATTCGGGTGTTATTTAAATGAGAAATGTACATAACACTCAAATTACGGGTTACGCATACTTCGGTATTAAAATAAACTAAAAATTTAAGAACGGAATGGTGAAAAGTTAATAAATCAGTTTAAAAAATATTTTCGGGGAGGACAGATGCGTCTGCTCACTACGTACAGATTTTCATAATTCGTATTTTTCTATAGACTTTGTATTAAACAATATAAGAGCTCACGTTTTAACGCTGCCACGTCGCAATAACACAAGTCTAATACATGAACTTCCACTAAATTGGAGTACCTCATAGACTTTACATCCGGAAGTGTAATAAGAACATTTCATCCAGATTCTCAGATAGGCTAATGCGAAAGACAGTACATATCTGAAACTTTCTATACTGCTTTGTATGTTTCCAGGGGGGGGGGGTCCGGCTCCACCGTGGGCACTTCACTTTTCGCTTTGTCCTGACTCCTTATAGGTGTGCAAAGACTGTCAAATGGATATGCCAGACGCAATGCTCTTACGAACACTTACCCATTAACTTACCCTACGCGAGGTCGCTTAACAGCTTTCGAAGTCGGTGTCGGAGCCCCTCATACATTTCCTCGGTGTGGGAGGTATTGCCACGACGAATCCGAGACCCAACTGGCGGCGATGCGGATTGTTAGATTCACGAAGCACCGTACCAACAATCGCCCCACTCATCACTGCATTAATCTTTTTCCTAACGATGCGAGTTCACCGAGATATTAGATATATGGGCGGGAGTATCTAATCCCCACCTGAATTTCTACATGTGGGACCGTCGTCCCAACCTGCTCTCGAAGAGCGCGAGGGACATGATGTGAGTGCGTGTGCGTGCGCGTGTTAGGAGACGTACCCGCCGTGCGACGGAGGCGGCGGAGCCAGAGGAGGGCGGGGACTCGGCCAGCTGCCGCCGCAGCCGCCCCAGCTCCGCGTCCAGTGCAGCCACCTCGCGCCGGTACACGCGGTTCTGCACCTCCACGCGGTACTGCAGCTCCCGCCGGTCGTCCGTCACGAACCTGCGTCACACAACAGCCACAGAGAACGCCTCCTTTATTGCAGGATCCAACCAATAGAGTTGATCTGAAGTGTGTTGACAAAACGTCAATAATTACGCATAATAATAATAATAATAGTAATAATATGATTGATTGATAATAAGTGGACATGATTCACTTATGGATACGGGTTAGACTATAACTCAAAGAAGAGAAACAGGTAATTTACAGAATCCGAATAATTGCGTGGATGCAATTAATGCCATGTGGCAGATCTTGTCCCTCTCCTTTTTCAACATGTACTATTGATATTAAAATATGTTGGACTGCAACAGGAAAAAAGTTTAATTATAAATTATAATTGATACAACAAAATGTATGATTTATTATTCGAAATATGTGACTATTATTTTATAAAAGTGATAGTGTGGTTGTTTCTGTCAGTTATGTACTCAATATTTTCACTACAAACAATCGATAATCTTATACATCCATAATAAATCATATGTATTTAGTTACTAATAATTTGAGAAAGTTACCTCAAACTGAACCTCTGAAAAATTAAGTCATTCGTTTGTTCGTCTTACCTTTGATTGAGAAGATCAATTGCAATATTCTGCTACGAGCCATTATATCGTTGTAATAAATTTTGCGAAATAAATTATTGATAATTTTCGTAGGAAATTGATTATAAATTGGTGCACTAGAGGATAGAGAATATGAATATTCGTTTAAAAGATATGTTCACATACGTTGTAACTGCTAGTTTCGTCATTATTGAATTGTGAGACTTTGTTCATAACCTAATATCTCTTAAACAGATTAAAATACAGACACAGTAGTTTCATTACAGATTTTAGAATGAAAAGATTTTGACTCGTTACAAATAACTAATTATCATATTTTATATCAATATTTTTACGCATGTTACCATTCCAATTTGTGGGCCTCTTTTGCAGAAAAAACTGAATAATTTGTGCTGTTATTTATTATTCTCATTTGGGGAATACACAGAAAATGTTACACTACAGCGGAAAATTTTAAACTTAAGTATCAATGGCAGCGTAATAGTTTTTAATTCATCTCATGAGCATACTATGAATGGCTCCATCTTATGTAGTTACATCATATCTAGATGTGGCGTCTCCGAACTGTTGATTTAAAAAATGATATTTATATAATTTTTAGAATTATATTTTTTAACATTTATAAACCATTATCACCTTTTAAATGTATGAATGTGTACAAACAAAAAACAAAACTGATAATATAAGACGTGTTCCAAAAATTTTACAATAGAGTAATTACATTTCAATAGACTTATAGACCTACCCGAGTTTCATTAAGTTACGTACATGTTATTAAAACATGTTTTATTTATGAGAGAATCTATTTCGGAATAAATGGAAAAGAAATACAGATTTCACACGTGGTACAGGAGTTGACCTCGAAGAAGTTGAATAAGATTCATTATTGGATTAAAGTGATTTAAATGTATGAATGTGTACAAACAAAAAACAAAACTGATAATAACCTGAATTATTTAGAATGGGCGGTTCGTGGATTGATTAAGAATTTCCATTACACCTGTAGTATTTACTACAACTATTTTGCTAATATTTAGTACATTAACACATTCAAATAAAACAATAAAATAAAACATGGTAGATGTTGAAATTTTAACAAGCCATTTACGAATCTTCTCAAGATCACTACCTCCTGGAATGACTTAATGTGAGACATGGAAGTTGAATAGATGTTAAGAAATCGAATTCAGAATGTTTCGTTTATATCATAAAATACATGTTTAACAACAAGAAATAAACACATAAAAATAACACGTAATCTAATAAAAAACAAAAACGAACATTAACTAAATAAATAATCAGTTTTATTTATATTTGTCTATATTTCATTTTGAAATATATTTTAATGTTTGGCCAAAAAATAAAGAAAAATAATTGTCCTTAGATATTGACCAAACATAATATTTATTTTTAATAAACAATTATCAATAGTTATTTATGATGCGAATGGTAAAAGTGGCATTTTATTTTGCGAGCAGGAAGTATTGCGACTCTTGGCCGTTAGACAGGGGGGCTCACTCCTACAAGTAAAACGAAATCTCTTTGAGCGCAGGTGTCGTACACTATTTTTTAGCCACGCTTACTGACATTCATTTTATTTTAATTCAAGCATACAAATCGTTACATTAAGATTAGCGGTAGCTATTACAATCAGACGAAAGTATGTTGTTTTCTCTTTTTATTTACAGTTTTATCAAAACATTTGAGCGTCGACTCACTTTTAGCAGGGTGGTAATTGAACATTTAGCACGCTTTGCATATCCTAAAAGTAACCGCTTTTACTAGGGCTGTCTAAAAAACAATTTACCGTTAACACAGCCAATCAAAATGATTGACATCTCTTCATTTGATGTTTTTGATGGAATTTCACAATTTCTTTCACATCAGACCCACTGGCACTGTTTCAAAATGCTTTCCATATTTATTCACTATTTTGAAGGAGAGTGTTTATTTTTACAGAAAAATGTAAGTACACATTTAGTTAGTAACTGTAGATGGGAGAAAGGCAGGTACATGTAGCGTATATTACACTTGAAATGAGGTAATTTTATAATTTTCTGCGGATAGACTGCTGGATTTAGTTGAAGTTTGAATCAGTACTTGAGTGAAATACTCAAAATAATTATTTGAAGATTTTTTGACATATTAATAGTTCATTCTGAAATAAGTAGGTAATTATAAATTATTTTAAATTGTGCATTGTACTTGTTTCGATTCCACTTAACACTTATTAAGTTTAAAAAATAAACGAGATAGTTTTTAAACTAGAAGTACTTAACAGCACATACTTTCTTGTATTATTTGTATAATTTGCAACTTTGCAAATTCAGAAGGTTCAGCGAAAATGAAATCTGTGCCCTTTTTAAACGTCCCTTGTTCTATGTACAAAATATAAACCAAAAATTTGGAGCCAGTTTTGATCAAATTTTAAAAATATTGTAGAGGTTTAATGTAAAGTACCCCTAAAAATCAAAATATTCGTTTGATACTTGCAAGGTCTCGAGTTCGTCCAGCTAGACAGAACAATATTAATTTTCGCATAAACGGTCAGACGCTAGTGTACGCGCCTAGGCGCAGACGGACGGATAGACAGACGATTGGCCTCAATCACTTTTTCGATATCAAGGAGCTACCAAACCTGGAATCTGCCTGCACAAAGCGTTAGAGGAAGTAAATTAAATATTCTGGAATATTCAATATCAGGGTCCCACAATACGAGTTTTTCTGTCAAAATATCGCCGTTTTTTGCCGTCGAAGTACAATACTTCCTTCGTATTACGTAACCACGTTGTACTGCAAGAACGTCAAACAAAATACTGAAAACTAGGACTTTTACTCCACTCAGTGCAAGCATTCGTGTGCTGTGCAAGCGATCCTACGGATATCTATTAAGCACATTATAACAGTCACTGCCCACTATCAGGAGAAAACGACGTAATTTGGGGACATTGCTGGCTAAGAAATTTCAATAGCTTTCGAGAAAAAACGTTATTGATGCAACACAAATAGAAACACATTCGCGACAAATGACATGAAAATCGCGATCTAAGGGTAAGAGGTCCCCGGAGCATTAAGAATTTATCAAAATGTATCTTCTATGCGCGAATTATCAGCATGCATTAATTACAAGGCGCATTAGTTTAAAAACATTACTGCTGACGGAAAAAAGTTGAATCAATAAGGATGTCATTCATTTTTTGCTGTGCGTTATTATTTCGGGCGATGAAATGCATTTAAAATGCTAATGCGCAGTTCGTAATGTGCTCTGAAAATCACACTGAATTATAAATGAGCTTTTGGAGAGCGTAGATAGGCGTTTTGCTGATTAATATAATGTAATCGGCCAATTAAACAAGTTTCGAAAGTTAACAAATTATTTTGCGGTATGTACCATGAGGATTGATGTTTTACATTCAAAAACCCAATACACGTATATGTGCTCCTTATCGTTGCTCCTCTTTGCACATTCACTTTCTTCTTTCTCACTGCGAATTTATAGAAAGACACCAATATTATATGTACTCACATTAACACACATACGGTGATATTACAATTTCATGAATAAGTTCATGAACTCACTAGTAAAGCCACTTTTACTTCGAACAATTACGTTTCTAGCAAAATTATAGATTTAGCGAATCGACAAAAATGTGGATCAAATGCATTTTTTAATAGTTCGGAAACACCACAAATCATAGGGTAGCATATCTACGGACTGGGGTGTGGGCAGCAGATCATTTGTAGGAAGATTAATGGACCTTTAAAGAACTGTGAATAAGTCATGCTCCTCGAGAGTAATCATCTAATGGATAGAAACCCTTACAGTACAATATCTCTCAAATTTATATGCAACAGTGTCATCTGTTAATTTTCACCGGCGAGTTAGTGCATCGGAATGTGAGTATACAGCTCGGAAAACAACGGGTTTTGTCACGAAGAATAAAGGTGATAACCGATAAGAGAGTAATTTTGAAATCTAAAGTATCGATTATTTGTAATTGTAATCATCATTTTTTGTGCTTGAAAATATGAAGCTGGTACGATTCTCCCATGACTGGGAGGGCCTCTGACTGGGAGGGCTTACGATTCGAATCACGACGGCGGGAGGATTTTCGACACTAGCTAGACATCGAGGTTCGAAGCTCCAGACCGCAAATGCAACCGCTATCTGGAGGAACATTCTAGCGGCCGACAGCTCTGATTGTTAGTTTTCTGCGATTACTCCGATCAACACCAGGCGAATGCCGGAGCAGTACCCAAAGAAATGAGCCACGTGCCGTGCGCGATCTTTCGTTTGACTTCCCTGACCTATCCTCACCCCATACTTATACAGACTTACACTCACATGCTTACACTTCCACACTTGTCAGAAGACCAATAGGGAGCTTAGAGCTTGGACCATCTGAGGAGGTGCCCCACTAGTGAGAGATACCTGGTTGAGAAAGATCCCTGCCAGTCGTCATAGGTCGGCGCTGGATCTCGCCATCCTGCGGGGAAGATCACCGCTACCTCCAGCGATTAAAACATGTACTGCACTTAAGGGACTAATGATTTTAGTAGACACGCCTGAAATCACTAATAAATCAGTGAATTATTTGCACTTACTTGACGGTGTTTTAAAAGTAGAAAACAAGGAGTTTGAAAAGACTTAGAATGGGATATTCTGAGCATAAATTTTTATATAAACATAAATCTGATTTTATACGAATGTGAGGCTATAACGTCGTAATATTTGAATGGAACTTACAAAGAAAGTTTACAAAAACGAGAGTTTCGATTATTATCTGTGGGGATGGATGAAAAGAAAAGTCTAAATATTAAAATAAAATGAAAAGGACGATTTAGTCCCTTGCAAAATATAAAAAGCTGGTATCATTAAAGGACATTACATCGAACTATGTAATGCTCTACTCACCATTGCCAAGAGGATATGAAAATTGCATTGAAGTTCGCGGTGTCGTTTAAAAAAATATTTTATTATATTTTACATTCATAAGTGTTTCAAAAATTTTAAAATGTATGACCTGAATTAATTCATCAATATCTATTGTAATTTTCATAACGTAGGGTCATACGTACAATTTAAATATTTAAAACAGATACAACCTCTTAACAGTTATTAACAGTATATGTGTATTGCAAGATTTTTTACGTCATATTAAATTCTACTACCTCTCAAAGTTGAGAATGGTAATATTTTTTTCTTATTTAAGAGTCTCTGTTTGTAAAATAATAATGATATCGCACAAAAAAGTTATTGTGACACACTTTTAAGCAACAAATATATTCCATGGAATAGGATGCGTGAGTTGTGTGGTAGAGTACAGAGTGTGCTTTATTTGACGCTCGTTAGTGCCGTAAATTGCATGATGCATAGCTGCATGTGTTTCTGATATTTTCCTCTACCGTTTCTCTTCAGATTGCCGTTTGTGCAAACGTATGGCTGATAATTGTTTTCAGATAACTCTATGTTAAAGAAGCGGTAACATTCTAAACATGTAAATACTGTAATCATTATCTGGACATTACTCTTTCCTGGTTTGGTGCCAGACCCTAAAATAGTAAATAGTTCCCTGGTTCGAGAGTATTGCACAGGGAAACACCGGTAGGTCAGCCCATTAATGAGGCTGCGTGCTCGATCCAGGCAAGATGGCGAGGATTATTTCTCTCTCTCTCTCTCTCTCTCTCTCTCTCTCTCTCTCTCTCTATATATATATATATATATATATATATATATATATATATATATATATATATATATATAAGAATATACAAAGAGAAAGAGAGAGAAAGAGAGTGAGAATCCGTCCCAATCCGGTTCCTTGTAACCGGCACACGTAGGTGGATTCTTCCATTGCTACCAATATTTGAAAAAAATATAACACTCGGAACTGAATATTCTTTATGAATCACTACAGTAGTAGTTGCGCTTTGGTCGTTCTTACCTTTGTGTTCTACTCTATCTGGAGTCTCATGCTCTGCACGATGGGGTCAGCAGCGTGGACTGATGGGGTTGACCATTAGTTGTTCCTACCTTCGCTTTGATTTATTAACGATTCCGGGCGCGTCAACTGCTAATGTCAATATTCCCGTAAGAGTAGTGCATGATCTCATCGCTGGAGGTTGCGGTGATCTTCCCCTGCCGGCTGGCAACATCTGGGTTGCCGGTATTTTCCACAGCCGGATATATCTCAACAGCGGGGCACCGCCCCAGCCGGGACAAGCTCTAAGCTCGTGTCTGGTCTGCTAGTATAGTGCATGTGAGCGTGTATGTAAGTAAGGGGTGAGGATAGGACAGGGAAGATGAAGGAAATATCACGCGCGGTCCTCGGTCCGTTTGAAGACCGGAGCAACCACGAAAACTTACGATCAGAGCTAGAACTCTCCTCCAGACAGAGCTTGAAATCGACATAGCTATACAGTTAATATAGCTATATAAATATAGAAAATCCTGCCACTCTCGGGACTCAAACTCCAGGTTCTCCCGGTCAGATGTTACCTTCTCGTGTTGTACTCTATCTTGAGCCCCATGCTCTGCACGATGGGGTCGGCGGCGGCGGCGTCGGCCCGCCCCAGGATGGCGTGCAGCTTGGGCAGGAAGAGCAGGCAGAGCGTGGCCGTGGTCGACGTCAGGATGAGCGCCGTGATGGTGACGAAGGCGAGCGTGGCGCGCTCCGAGATGAGGTTGGCGAGCACCACCACGATGCAGCTGGTGATCACCACGCTGTACACGCTCATGCCGATGTACTGCGAGTCGTTGAGCGCCGGGATCTTGACGTGGCGCGTTTCCCACGCCATGTACACGCCCACCACCAGCAGGAGGCCCTTGTACACGTACAGGGCGCCCAGCCAGCCCGGGGTGTACTGGGAACGGCAGACTTCCACCTGCGAAGGTAGTGCTTTGGTTAGGCGGCAACTGCCAGAAGAGGAAAGGTCGAAAGCTATGAACATCATTCGCAATTTCCTAAAAATCACAGCAAAGTCATGGAGTCACAAGGCGACGCGCCACAATCTCCTCAAATCAAAAGAAAAAATATTGCTATCAGTTTATTCGGATTGTACTATTTACACTATTAATGCATGATAGTCAATTTGTAATGTTAAACCCTGTATAAAATACTAAATATATTTACAGGATATTCGGATGTCATGCATTTTTAGACCAATCACACAGATTGCAATGGTCCCAGGAAATTCGTGTTAACAAAGGTTTACTGTATAATTATAACAGTAAAACATTAACAATGTAATACAGCACAAAAAGCGGAATTTCAAAATATTCAAATTTACAATGATGGTCTGTGGGCACGTGTCATTTTGATGCTTTCTCTGCATGTGTTATTTGAGAGTCCTGAATTATTATGAGAATATACATATACAAAAAACGCTTTCATCAAGCAAGTACTTGACAAACAAAAATATTGTGTACAATGGGATTCAGTTCTCGTTGCTAATACCATGGGACCTTATCCCATAAGTAATGTGCAGACTGAATTTAGCAAAATACGATACTCTTCGTCGTTTAGTTTCGTAAATAATTAACATTTAACTTATGGTTTTGCGCTTGTACTTGTGTAATAAATACAGGCTATGGCAAGTGAGCAAGCGGCTTCATCTCCAATTAGCACTCGCCACTTTTCTGGAAAACTCAATTGTTAATACTACCTAAGAAGCTACGGAAGCGAGTACAAGACCAATTTTGCGCCAGGTCAACTCACAATACTTAGTATGGCGAGCAATTCATGTGGAGGGATTACAACTTTTCCATTTCTAGCAGGTGGAGCATATGTACAGTAGACACTAACGTCGTTTTCAGTTCTCTAGGTATTTCCTGAGAAAAAAAGGCGTTCAGTATACGAATTTTATGACCCAGATACTCCCAACACTTCTGGAGCTGAAGGTTAACGAAAACCCGAGTTTATGCTACCGAAGTTGCGGATCGTGATGACCTTCTTCGACGCATTGAAAGTGTGGCGGCTGAAGAAATAAAGGTGTCCGGGAAACTTGTGGGCGTCACGGAGGCCGGGCGGCGCAGATGCTTATCTTGCAAACACGCCAGAAGAGGCCATTTTGAACACTTGTAGAGCCCTTTTTCTCTCTCCTTTAACATTCATTAGATAAGAAGACAAAAATAGTAATAGGGATCAATATGTAATGTAATATTTGGGCTACCTTTTTGCCCCAAAAATGATCAATGAAAAAAAAAAAACACTTTTTTTTTCAAAAATTTGAATGTGGTTTATCCTATTTCTTTTTGCACTCACTAATAAGTTAGTGTACCTCATCATCGGGTCCCGTATGAGCAACGAGAACTGAATAATTCTTTATTACTTGTATTTGATTGAAAACAAACGAAAACAGGTTTTCACATATTGCGTTCTTCAAAGCTTGATGCCTTTATTCCAGGTTCATTCGAGAAATATTGGTAAGCAGAAATATATTTAGAAATATAATATGAGGGAATACAGGTTGTAATTGGTATGAAAAATATGATAGTGAAATAAAAGAGAAAGGGCGATGAAAATGCAACAAAACTATTATTCATTAGGTGTGCCTTCACTGCCTACAAGGCTCGAGTTACTTCGGCTATAGTAGAGATAGAGATTCTTACTTTCCCGTATACGTACGTATTATATGAGTTATACACGCAGTATAGGAAAAGTTCTGTAATGCTCCGAAAAACCGATTTCGACATTTCAACGGAAATACAAGTTTTGGGGTCCCCTGATTCCGAAAAAGGGTTTTTTTCAAAACGTCCGTCTGTCTGTCCGTCCGTCCGTCCGTCCGTCCGTCTGTCTGTCTGTGAACACTACTAGAGCCTAAACCATACGTACGATTTTTTCCAAAATAGATATTCCCCAGTCGATCAGGCTCCACTAGAGGCGCCGCGATTTTGAAAAAAAAATAATCAAAATTTGGGTGAGTTTACATAAAGCGATCCGGGCATTTTCAAATTTTTTTCAAAAACGGCTCCAAACTTTTTCTTTAAATTTCTTGTAAGAATAGAGTAAATATGGCATAGGTTCGATTTTCAGGGTTAACTCTGAATATTCGAAAATTCTGCGAGTGTTTTCCTACAACTACAAAATTTAAGATAACAGATTTTCGCCGCAAATAAAATTTGTTCTCCATAGTGAGTTATTTCATTATGGTCATATACATTTTTTGGTAACAGTAGTATTTTTGACCAAAACTGCTAGCAATCCGTGCAATTTAGAAAAAAAAACAAAACAAACAAACAAGATTGTCTCGAAAACGACTCCATATTTTTTCTTTAAACTTTTGATATAGCTAGTGCTAAATGCACTCTATGGAATTACATAAACGCCATATTGCTCTATTATTTTATTTTTAAAAGGTAATAACAATGTAATTTTATTGACTTGTCTCTCACGTCGTTAATATTTACATTAGCGGCGATTTGTTCACATTATTATATTTTTGAATACATACTATGCTTAAAATTATGTCTTATTACGTTTCTCGAAAATTCAACCGTTTTCTGTAAAAATTAGGTCAAATTCTGAATTTTCAGAAACGCTCAAAGTTGACTTAAAGTCAATTTCGTGGAATTTTTTGTTTCTTCAAATGTAACTTTACACACATGTAATTGTTTGGAATATCTGGCACACCTTTAATATGCACTTTTAATACGCAATTTGTTGTATTTGTGAGTTAAAGAGCTTCAAATGAAGTTTTTTGAAAGCTCAAAAATGTTCTGTGAAAAAGAGCTTGAAGTTTTGAATTTACAGTAGGGATTAAGCGCAATTTAGCTTTTTTTAGGATCGGCTGCAAATTTTTTAAAGAAAATTACAATTTATGGCAAGATTTTACTGTTCTGTAATATTCGTAAACTAATATTTTTGTTCTATTATTAGAAAACCGAAAAATTAATAAAATGTCAAAAAATATTCTTTAGGGGGGCGATAAATGGTATGCAAAAATATGTGGCAAGTTTGTTGAGTTCTGTAGCAGTACTAGTTATAATAACTGGTGATTTTTAAAGCAATCAGCACAATGGTATCATACAACGCAGGATAGAGTTAATGATCTGGCTTTTACTGCTAAGCAGAAAGGGTATGTAGTGACATTGTGCGAAATTGATCACGTGCTCATGGGTGTGAAAGCTGCAGCAGTTATGAATGAAGAATTGGGGAAGTGGAAGGATTGCGAGGAATGGGGCGAGAAAGATAACTCAAGCAAAAGTGAGTGTGCGCTTTAGCGGAGGCGGTGACGGCGGAAGGTAGTGGTGGCGGCGGCCGGGGCGAGCGGAGAACGAGTGCGAATATATGGAGAGAGCGAGTACGAGTACGATGGCGAGGGCGAGGGCGAGGGCGAGGGCGAGGGCGAGGGCGAGGGCGAGGGCGAGGGCGGGAGTGAATGCGGAAGCGGAGGCGAGGGGAGGGCCGAGCGCAGAGTTTAGGGCAAGAGTGGGGGTGAGGGCATGAGTGCAGCTAGGGCCGTAATTGGCGGGGCGTAGCAAGGACGTGGCGAGAGCGGGAACGGCGGGGGCGTGCGAATGGGCGGGAGCGAGGGAGACTACTACTATACGTGCCAGAGCGGGGGCGAATAGCAGGGGAAGCAGTAGTGCTGAGCGCAGGAACGGGGCTGACAAGG